GATCCACAAAATATTCAGATGCAAGCTTTAAAAAAAAAAAAAAACATGAGTGCAGGGGTAAGGGATGTAGCTCAGTGGTCAAGTATTTGCAGAGCATGCATGAGGCCCTGGGTTCAATTCCCAGCATCACCAAACAAATGAACAAATAAATGAACAAAAACCATGAGTGTCAGTTCTATACATGCAGAGGAGAAATTTTTAAATAATCAAACAGATGGACAGATACATTGTTCTCGTGAATTAAACAATTCAATATTGTTGTCAGTTCTCTCTAAATTTATCTATAGATTTGATGAAATCTCAATCAAAATCCCCAGCAGACTTCTTGTAGAAATTGACAAATTAGTGTCAAACCACGTTGGAAACACAACAGACTTAGGATGGCCAAAACAACTTTAAAAGAAACAAATCCACAAGACTTACTGTAAAGCTACAACAATCAAAGAGATTGAGGTATTCGTGTAATGCTAGATATCCTGATCAAAGAGACAGAATAAAGCCCAGAAATAGACCAACTTACAAAGGATGAAGGTGCCAAAGTATTCAATATGTAAAGAATAATGTTTTCTTCAAGTGGTACTAGAACATTTGGACATCCATATGCAAAACTGATCCTCAAACCATCACATAACATATACAAAAATTAACATGACACAGACTATAGATCTAAATGGAAGAGTCAGAACTATAAGACTTCTAAAACAAGATGCAAGAGAGAGACTCTTATTTTTTCCCTTTTGGGTTAGGGAAAGATTTCTTAAGTAGGACAAAAGCGAAACTAAACATAAACAACAAAATCTAACCTTCAAAAAAATGTGTGACTGGGAATTTATCAACGCATAATATTCTGAAGTTTGAAAGATGTTTTTAAGAAATTATAAACCCTACAATGGTAGGAAATATGTATCTGGTAAATGGCCTGTATCCAGAATTTATAGAGAACATTTCCAAGTCAATAAGACAGACAATCCAATTAGAAGTAGGAAAAATATTTGAACAGATACTTCATAAAACAAGGTACAAAAAATGGCTAACAAGCACATAGAATGAGATCATCATTTGTCACGAAGGAAGTGCAAATTACAACCAGAAGGTGACACTGTTATATGCCCACTGGAATGGCTAAAATTAAAAGGACCGACAATATCAAGTGCTGTAGAGCATATGATGCAATTGGATTTCTCCTTCATTGCTGGTGGGAATACAAGTACAGAATAGTTCCTTTGGAAAGCAGTTTGGCAGTTCTCATAACATTAAACATATACATGGCATAAAACCCAGAAATTCCACTCCTGGGTATTTTCCCAAGGAAGGAGAAACATATGTTCTCACAAAAACCTGTATATAAATGTCCAGAGTAGGATTTATTTATAGCAGTCCCAAACTGGAAAGGACCCAAATATCCATCAACCAGTGAATGTCTGGATGTTGAATCTCCATGCTGTGCAATACTACTCAGCAATAAAGAGAGACAATCTACTGATGCACACAACATCACGGTCAAATCTCAAAAGCCCTGTGCTAAATTAGAAGAGTCAGACGCAAAAGTCTGAATATAATGTGACTCCACTTATAAGACCTTCTAGAAAAGGCAAAATTATAGGGAAAGAAACAAACCAGTTGTTCCCAAGGAAGTGGGGTGGAGGGAGAGGTTTGACTTCAAAGGGGCATGAGGAAAACTTGGGATGGTGGAAATATTCTGTCTTCATTGTGGGTAGTGGCACAGCTGTAAGCCCTTCTCAGAACTCATCCAACCATATATATTAAAATAAACATGACAAAAATAGGCATACCCAGTGAAGACTAAGTCTATGAGAAAAAAATCAAAACAACAGTTTTAATTATTTCATTGACACTCTTTATGTCTTGCTATAATACTGTATTTTCAGAGTGAGCTGGTATGACGCATTGGTTTAGAACATGTCTATAAATGTCAAGCCAACCTCAATTCAAGTCTTGCTCCTGCCATTTATTAGTAAAGGGACTTCATGCCAATGACTTCATTCATGCCTCCTAGGATTATGGTGGGGAGCTAATGATTCATTTTAACCACTTCATGACTGGCTCATAATAAATATTCACCAAATGCCAGTTATTCAAAGAACCTTTAGAAATGGCTTCAGTGAGGAGACATGCATACGAACAAATAAAAGATAACATCATGTAAAAATAACAAATATATCAAGTATAGAGTATAGTAATTGCACAAAATGAGAAATGTTTCACTGTGGTGAGGACAGTGAATTGCTGCAGGAAATCATGACCTTGATAAATCTGAAAAACAAATAAGTGTTTTTCAGGCTCATTGGGGAGTGAAGGGCACAAAATGTCATGGTGTGCTTGGAGAATGATGATCAATTGGCTATTTTTTTTTTTTGAGTGATGAGAGGAATGAGTATAGAAGGGAGGAGTCAGAACAAGAAGAGTCTTGAATTCCAATTTAAGAAGATACTTGCACCCCATCATGCAGCTGAGGAACTGGGAACCTGCAAAGAGAGATAAATTAGACTTGCATCTTACAAAGATTACTTTGATAACCCTAGAAACAAGAGATCAAAGCTAGGATGAGGCTAGGAGACAAGAGAGCTGTCAGAAGGCTTGCTAGAGGAATCCAGGTAGAGGATGGTGAGATTTTGTACTTGGGCTGTGAGAATGAAAAGGTGAGAATAAACTCAAAAGATGTTTAGAATCTAATAATTGTGCACAAAGGAGAATGAGAGGCAGATTTCATGTTTTGGTAGGTTTGTGGGTGCTTGTCACCTTGGTAAGCAAAAAAAAAAATATGTTTTTTTTTCTGGTAAAAAGACGCATTTAGGTGGGTAGTGTTGATGGTTGAGGTGTCTGTGGACTTGTAGTTGGAGCTGCCCAGCAAGTGGAAAGATATATGAGCCTAGAGCTAGTGTCAGAATTTGGTGGGGAGTTGTGTATGTGGCAATTGAAGTCACAGATATAAATAAGATTGTCCCAGAAAAGCATATGGTGTGAGAACAAATCTCTGGGGAACAGCAACACTTGAGGAATAATAGGCATGGAAATAAGAGGATGATCAAGAGCAAGTGGCATCACAGAAATCAAAGGCGGAGTCTCAAGTACAAATTATCACCAAGAATGTTATATGCAGGAGCAATGTCAAGGAACACAAAGACTGAGAAGTATCTGAAGGATTTGAGTAGTTTGAGGGCTGGGAAAAAAACAGATCATTATAGTCTGAAGTGCGAATGGGAAGTTAAAGATGCAGAAGTACCTAGCAAACTATTTTTTTTTTTTTTGGTAAAGTAATGATCAGAAGGAGAAAAAGAACAATAGACTGGTAGCTAGAAGGAATCTAAGATTGCTATGGTTTGAATAAGTGTCCCCCAAAGGTCTGTGTGTTAAAGCCTTGGTGCCACTATTGGGAGGTGATGTGGAAGTGGGGTCTAAAGGGAGGCCTTATGTAATTGGGAGTTTGCCCTCAAAAAGGATTGTGGAACCTCAGCCCCTTCCCATCTGGTTCTTCTACTTTCTAGCTCATGAGATGTGCATTTTGCTCTGCCATGTGCTCCTTCCATGATGTGCCACTCTGGTCAGAGGTCCTAAAACAAAGCCACTCAATCTTAGACTGGAACATCCAGAACTAGGAGTCAAAATAAGTCTTCTTTTTATAAGTCAATTGCCTCCGGTTTTTAATTATAGTAATTGAAAATTGATCACCATCAGGATCAAAGGGAGTTTTTTTTTTTGTAAGGCACTGGAGAGATTTAACTATATTTATAAATTGATGAGGAATGAGGAAATAAGCTGGAAAAGAAAAATAAAAGACTGAGCATACAAAAGGGTATTACTCAAAGTCCAATCAGAAGGCAGAAGTCACACCAGATATTTCACAATAAAAAATTTAATATGAAGAACTGTTAGATATAGATGACACTGTCAGGTAATTTAAAAGGTGGGAAGGGAACATAAAAACATATCAACATAGCAATGCTGAGGGACTAATGGGGGCAGGAGTTGCAAAGTGTAAAGAAGAAAGAAAGATTTTTTTTTGTTAAAGGCAACCTAAGAGTGGGGCTGGAGTTGTGGTTCAGCAGTAGAGCGCTTGCCTAGCACGTGTGAGGCCCTGGGTTTGATTCTCAGCACCGCATAAAAGTAAGTAAATAAAAATAAAAATCCATCAACAACTAAAAAAAAGTATTTTAAAGAAAGTAAATGCAATGTAAGAGTATTTTATAAAGATGGTTTAATTAAATAAAAATGAAAGAATATTCTGAGAGTTGCACATACCTGGAAAATAATGGATGCTTATAATTAAATAATTGTTGAAAATGAAATGATGAGGGAATAGAATGATCAAAATAATCTATAGGAGAAAAGTATGGAAAAACAGGAGGGAAGAGAAGTTTGGCTGGGACTGGAGTGGTAGAGTCTGCTTGGAATCTACAAGGGTAGAACGGGAATGAAGCAGGCAACCTTATGGGGGGAAAGCTTTACCTGGACGATTGGGAAGAACGACAGTAAGGGGAGAAAGGTGGGTAGGAGGAGGTTTTTAAGAGCTCTGGTTCGTTCCGTGGGGGAGGATTGGATAGCTTCGTGCACAGAAAGTTGACAATGAAGGTCCGCAGCCTAGTGAAGCCCCCTCAGAAGGTGGTGATTTGGTGTCTTTTGCACAGATTCTGGCTGAGGCTTGAAGATGAGAGAATGCAATAGTATCTGCTTGCAAGTCTAAGCTGCTTGCTCCCCATTTACAGTTTTTACCTGGCTCAACACAAGAGAGGAGAATTCCCGTGGATTTTTTTTTCCTTAACATTTTGAAAAGGTCTTTTAATTTTTTAAAAATTTGTTCTAATTAGTGCATTCCCGATATTTACTCTGGCCCAAAACATGGACTCACGGAACTGAGGACGCGCTCGGCTCCTTGGCGACAGAAAGCTGCCCCGGGCTGGGCAAGGGGTGGGGAGGGGCGACTGGGAAGCACAGAGCTAGCTCCCTGGCGAAAGCGCGCAGGCGCAGCGCGGCGTCACCTAGCAACCCAGGGACAACTGTGGACCCGGAGGTGCGCCTGTATCCGCAGGTGCGGTTTACTGGTTGTGAGCAAAGGCTGTTCGTCGGAACCTCCCTGCAGGTACTCCTGCCTCTGGGGATTGGAGAGGCGCAGAGCAGAGCCCACTGCAAAACTTGGGAAGGTGAAAGTGCCATTCCGATAGGGACTGCTGGGACAACTGAGAGATCACCTTAGAAGTGGTCCCTTCCCAGTGCTTGCAGTGTTAGAAGGGCTAAGGATGGGTTTCCTAGGCGTCAAGCCCACCTCATCTTTAAAAGGCGACAAAATCGAGGTCCCCAGAGGGGATCTGAAGGTCTAAGATGACCAGAGAAGCGGGGCCCATTTGCTTTAGAGCCCCTCTCCTCTTTAAGTCTGGGCAAAACAAATCTCAGCCTTAGAAAAGATGTGAGATAGTAGGAGAAATACAAATGACCAATAAACTCGTGAAAAGCAACGTGGCTCTAGAAGAGGCAGATTTAAAGCAGATTTGCTTTCCTATCCAATATCCAGAATTTGGTACCTTTTCACACAGTTATTTTGCTGCCGGGGATTTGTCTTCAAGGAACAGTTGGAGATGTGGGTGGAAATTTTAAGCGATGCGCATTGCAGCTTTGTATATAATTTTAGAGGATTGAAAATAAGAGACTGACTAGATAAATAATGAACTTTGAAATATTATTTAATGGCATGCTACAGGAATCTATTGTAGATGATCTTAGCAATAAATGAAGACCAAAATTTCATGAACTTACCTGAAATTTAAGAATTTAATAGGAAAATGGTCCCAGGAATGACAAGTGAATAGGGACTAGAAATCCAGTTAGAATTGCAAGTTCACTGTAGAAGACACAGAAAAAGAAACTATGTTGAAATAATACTAATCTCCCTGACTGTAACTTAGGGTGGTTTTTATTTTATTCATTGTCTCATTCTATGTTTTCCAAATTCTCTACAATGAAATGTATTAGAAATATCTCTTGTATAGTCCCATACCAGCTGTTTATTTCCCCACAAACTACCATACCCAATGTGGTGATAAAATATAGATGCTTCTAACTTCACATTATTGTCTAAAACTGACTCTATCAAATGTAGTTATGTATGTTTAGGTTATTTTTAGCCTCTGCTCTTTGTTATGCAATTGTTACAAATACTATTAGTATTAAATGTTTCTGAGTGAAAATCATATGATTTAAAACAACATTATGCAGGTATAATTTAATTGCTTCTTGAATGTTATTCATAGGAATAATATTCTTTTATAAGCCAGAGGCTGCTATATTTTGGAATTATAAAGAGCTATCAATTCACTTTTTGTTCCTAGAGATTGACAGCTCCTCATTTGTCCATAATGGGAATAGTTCATGTGTCCACCTGAAATATTATAGGCACAAGGTCTAGGGCCAACATACTTTTCAAGCACCTAGGAAAGATATTGAGATTTGAAAAAAAAATAATATTGGCTCTAATTTATGAAAAAAATAAGAAACTAAATTTTTATTAGTATTAATTTTTCATTACATCTAAAACCAATTTTCTCATTTTACAAGAATTTCCACATATATATACTAATTGCTGAGTAATTTCAACAGCAAAATTTTTGATGAAAATTGCATTTAATGGAGGATGTGAGTTCATTTTAGTATTTTAATACTGGATATAGTGTAAGGTAGCAAATTACAAAATAAATCTTCCAGTCCCTCAAAGATCTTACACTTTATGTGACCTAAAGTCAGTGATCAGGAAAAACATCTTTCAGAGGTCTCTATGATAGTTTCCATGAATGTGTGGCTTTTTAATGTGTTTGATAAATTCTCCTCAGTGTTTCCAACACTAGAAGTTGCTATTGACCTTTTATAGGCACTTTGAACTAACCCTGACACTGTAAATTGAATCCAGGGAATTTCCCGTTTCCCAAGGTTTCTTTTGGAAACTATGGAAATTTCTGTATAGCTAGTACACACCATGTGAGACTGCCAATATGACCCCAAATTTTCATTGAAGAAAAGTAGGGAGATTGGGTCATTCTAATAGGCACCAACATCTTGGGAGACTCTATACCCAACTGAGTTACTCCTCTGTGGTGTATTAACTATATATGTATATTATTCTTTTGACTTTTTTCCACATAGCCTTGGGCATATAAGGGCAGAAAGAAAAGGGTCTTGGGAGGAGTAGCCCTAACAACAGATTCTCAATTGTTTTTTAATTGAGCCACAGATTATATCAAACTTTTTATTATCTAGGAAACTAACACAAATGTTGATTCAGATGCAGTAGACCTTGTATACCATTCATGAAATTATTATTCCCAAGAAAAGTAGAGCTGATCATTTTTAAAGATATTTAATGCCTAATATGTACTAGACATTGTTGTAGGTGCTTAGGAGAGATGAGTGCCAGAAAATAGACAAACATTGCTGCTTTGTGACAGTTTTTCAGATCCCAAAAGTAACTTGGGTTTAGTCTTTCAAGCAGGTAAGCTATAAACATAGGAAAGCCTTTCCTGTTATGTGAGCAGAAGTTATGTCACTAATATATTCACCTCCTATCTAACCTGGAAACCACAACTTATGCTCAACAATCTTAGCAATAAGTTCGTTTAAAATTGTAGTGTTTAGAATAGAGATATTGGTGACATGTTCATATGTGTGCAATAATTTCCTACAGGTATTGCGATTTCTTTTATTAGGTAAAAATGTAAAGTAGAAAGAAAACCCCCTCCAAGAACACGAGTTACTGAGAGATTTGTACACATTCATAAAGCAGAAGTGTCACTTTATAAAGCATTTTTTTTTACATCTTTTTCCAGGATGGGTAAAAAGATAAAAAAGGAAGTAGAACCTCCTCCTAAGGATGTGGTAAGTTTCTGATTTGAATACTAGTAGCTTTAACCACCAGTTTTAAAAATAAATTGTTCGGTTTGGCATGTACCAGTACATACATGAATACATGGTGGCAGAAGTCCAAAGTCTGACTAATGATAAGATTAGTCAGAGAAATCTAACATTAGATAAACAAACATTTACAACATTGTCATTATATAATTAGCACAATTAAGGAGTAATTGTTAGTTTTTCCAGTATGTGGATGGCATGTTTATAGCCTTGTTAATGAATAAATAGTTTTAGTTCATTCTTTTAAATACTTCAGGGTTACATTTGCCAGTCTTTCATTAATGTGAATTATCCAAGTGAATTTTCGAAAATTCACTTTAGAAGTCATGCTATAGCTCTAAGACATGTGTAAAGGATTGTTGATAACCTTGAACATGAGAAGTCCTGTATTTTCTAGTTCTAACAAAAGAGTCTCCTGGAATAACTCCCCACCACAGTAGGCCCTTCTTTCTCTTAGTAGCACAATTTTATTTGCTCCCTTCAATCAATTGCTAAAAAATTGTGTTAAAAACAGAAGGTGACCTTTGACAACTTTTGGTTTAGAAACATTTCAAAACAGATGTTTGTTGTGATTTTCTTCAGATGGGATCTGAATATAAAAGAAATGAAGATAGTGCCCAGACTTTTAAACTTTACAAGAACCTTTGAGCTTCCTGCAGAAACTTCCCCTCCAGAATGGAGCATTGTGGTTAAGACCGAAAGCTTTGTCCCAGCTTGGCTTCTCATGAACTGTATTATTTTGGCCACTTTGCCAAAATTGGCCAAGTTATTTCAGTGTTTTCTTATCTCTTGCATGGGAATTGTACTGTCAAACTCATTTGGATCGTTGTATAAATTAAACCAAAATACATTACATAAAATTCTGGGTGCCTAGGAGCTAGCATTCAGTAAATAAGATCTAATATGGGAATCCTCTGGACTGTGCTTTATACACACACACACACACACACACACACAAACACACACACACACCCTATCAACCACATAGGTGTGATACTTCAACAGAGGAACAAAACCCAAAGAAGCACCTGTCTGCTTCAGTCCAGGAAGCCTTTGAAGATACAATCACTGTGGTCGTGTGATGTCATTTCATTCTGGCTGCTTTCCTTTGGACACACTCCTAAAACGTGGCAGATCCTATTTACTCTGTGCGTCCTAGGTTTGCATTACCTCCGCTTTTCACTGCCAAATAGCATTATTGGCATCTTAGCAGAAAGTCGACTCACGAACATAGTTCTTGGCAAGAAACACATTCTGATTTAGAATAAACAGTAGATATATTTGTCTAATACCCTTTCTATAATTTCATAATGTCATGCTGGGATTGTTCTTTCTACTCCAGTCTTTGGGGATACTATGGAGGACTCAAGAAATGCAATCTTTCTTCCTGGGTTCCCAACATTCTTGGGGGTAGCCAAAGACACCTGTGACAATTACCAGTGATCCCTATTTATTGCCTTTTCCAAGGGCCTTCCGTCCTTCTCCTACTCTGACTTTATGTTAACAAAGCTGAGCGAGTCGCATGAAAATATCTAATCCCTTTTCTTCCTTATAAATTCTAATACTTCAAAATAGGTTTCCTAACCCAGAACTTGTTTCAAAGTCTGCCTCTTCACAGTCTATGAAAGTTCTGTTCTACAAACTGTAAGTGAAAACCAGATTTAAAAGAGAGATATACAGATGCTTCATAAAATAAACTAATAAGCTAATGGCAATCTGTTTACCCTATATTTCCTGAGCATTGTTTCCAATGACTTTAACTTTTAATTAGCATTTTGTCTACTGCTTAAAATGGGTAATAGAGACAGCAAGGGTATTTGGTGATATGATTAGAACAAGACAGTTCCTTTGTTTTCATAATATTCTCATTAGTCATAACATTCGTTAAAATATACATATGTGGTTTCCAGATCTACACTTCCTTCTCCTGAAAGGGACACCAGCTAAAAAGTTGCCTAGATGTGGAGAAGATATGGCTTGAATGACCAACACGGGACATTCTGCCTTCCCAGATCATTTTCATGTCTGGCTGAAAGGTTGTTTGTGATGCTTTAATAAAGGAAAAGTTCCTGTGGAATGATTGCACAAAAGAATTCCTAATATAAAGGATTCTACAAAGCATTCTTTAGTATAAAGCAAGATATTCAGTGACTAAGCGCATAGATTCTGGAGTTACAGTGCTTAAGTTTAATCCTCATTCTATCCCCTTCTTCTCACCTGGGGCAAGTTTCCTACCCTCTGTGTTCCACACCTACTTCATTGGACTACCCAATGAAGATCAGATAAGAATAAGGTACTTAGAACAGTGCCTAACACGAGGTAAGAATTTAGCAAATGTTGTTGATAGTAAAGATGTAGTTGAGGGTGCTGTTCATCATTCTGCAGAACAGACAAGTTTGTATCAACTGTCCAAGCAGGCAGGAATATCAGGTGTGTGAAGCCAATTGGCCATGAATGCTCCCAAGAGCCTGGTGTTCGGCCACCATGATTTGAGTTTGCAAGTGGGGGTATAAAATTGTGTTCTCTTAATATTTCAGAGGTGACTTAGCATCAGTAGATAAGCCCACAGTATCTAAGTTCTCATTAGACTGACACCTGGCCCTAAAATCTTAAGGATTAAGGATCAAGTTACCTGAACCTTTGTGTTAATGGATCAGCACTTTCTAGCATGGTGATTATCAAGTCAAAGCAACAGAAAATAATAAAACATGTTCCCTCACTTGGGCTCTAAATCTATTTCCTGGAAAGAGTGGGTTGTCTCCTGGGGAATTGCTTTTCCCAGATCTTCATCATCAGTCTCAGAACTTAACCTTTAATCATTTGTCATAGGCTGATAGCACTCCACTTTTTGTTTTTTAACAAAGAACCAAAGGGAGTTATTTTCTGATCTTTCTCCCTCATCACAGATAAACAAAAACACCATGAATTAATTTAAAAGAATCAACTCATAAATAACATACACATAAATAATAATACACATAAATGAAATACACGTGTGGTTCATTATCAGTTTGCTTTCTTTTCTCTAAAAGTTTGACACTTTTATTAAGTTGTAAAGTAAACTAAAAGCAAATTCAGCTATATTTATTTTAACCATTGGATATTTCAGCAGATTTTTACTGAAGTCTAGATTTCTCTACTAAAAGTTCATATTAGATGAGTGCAACTTACTTCCCACTGTCTGTCTGGCTCTTTCCTAGGCAATTGGATCCTCATGATCTGAGGCCACTGATGTGGTAAACACATTCCATTAAAAATCAAAAGAGCCTTTTATTTGCACATATTGCCACCATAAAAGTCACTCGACTCTCATCATCTATCTGTTTCCACTGAGCTCAACTTAATAGCTTTGTTTTTTTTAGCCTTGGCTGTATGATACAGTAATCATTAGCTATATAGTAGTTATTTTAATTTAAGTCTATAACAATTAAAATTAACAACCAAAAAGTGATTAAGAATTCAGTCCTCAGTCGCATTGGCCACATTTTACATTGCTCAAGAGCCACACAAGACCTGTGAATGGCATATTGAACAACACAAAATCGAAACATTTCCATCAGTGAAGTTTTGTGGATGTCACCATTCTTGACAAGTCTTATTTCTTTTACAGAGGTATAAAATGTCTTTATGAGTCTCTGGCCTCTCCAACTGATGGGTCTTAAAACGCATAGCTTAGCCAAAAAATGCTTCCCCTTTCTTCGATTCTTTTTGTAAATAATTTTGGTTCGTCATTTATTTTGTACAGAGCGCGAAATTATAATTTCACAACAAGCTTGTTGGTGACTGCAGCTTCCTCATGGGAAAGCAGATGGGACGTGTAATTACAGCACAGTATTATTTATTTAGTCATGTGGCATTCTGTTATAGCTATCATTTTATTCTCAGTGCCTTTTTAAATAAAAAATTACTATAATGCTGTAGGCACCGTAGGAGAAACAAATGCCATGCCAAGTATCTCCATTCTCTGCCAAACACTGGTATTTCTTCTGCTTTGACAGCTCTTTGATTGTAATTCTCATGGTCTCTATCTTCCCTTTAAGCTTCTCATACCCTAAATTGCCTTCTTAATGATGTCCGGAAGATATGGCAAAATACTGGAGTGTTTTCTAAACCATTCAGACAGATTAAATGATATTTACTACAGTTTTTGTTTAAATGTATTTTCATGTATTCTACTCCTTTAAGAACTGTAGTCACTCTATGCAGATCACAGCATGGCCATGTTTAATCATAGACCTAGTCACATGTTTATTTTAAAATATTAAAGTATTTTTAAATAGGCCCTAGGTCAAGGCAGACAACAGGCAGGCCTGTAGTGCCAAGTACTCAGGGAGCTAAGTCAGGAGGATTGCCTGAGTCAGAAAATTCAACACTATCCTAGGAGACATAGTGAAACCCCACCTCAAAAAGAATTTTTTTTTTTTTTAACAACTACTTGGGAGACTGAAGCAGGAGGATCACAAGTTTCAGGCCAGCCCTGGCAATTTAGTAAGATCCTATCTCAAAATGAAAAATTCTTTAAAACTAGGGGATGTGATTGAGTGGTACAGTGCCCCTGGGTTCCATCTCTGGTACCACACAATAAGCCAACAAACAGACTTAGAAAGTGGAAGTTCTCAAATCGAAGGGGAATCTGTTCTGAATGCAGGGTCCAGTGACCAGCTGGAACATTGCGGAAGCTGCTTTAAGTAGGAAAGGCTGTCTAAGGAATTGGTGGACCATCAGGGAAATTTATGAATAGGATGAAAATGAGGACCCTTTCCCCACAAAAACGCACTGCAAACCTCTTTTTGTACACATGCAGTACAAAAAGGAAGCCCATCAATGGCTCCATGAACTCATATTTAGGTTTCCTGACAACCAATGGCAGTACCCAGTTAAAGCACTTTAAGACCACACGAATAAAAAGTTTCCAGGGGTCCTTTAATACATTCCTTCACAATCATGTGGTAAGTACTTCCATATTCCAGTACTGTTCTTTGGTAATGCAGATAGATAAATACTAACAGGGTCCTTTGCCTGAAGAAATTCCTTCACTAATTGGGCAAATATTGAGAGCATACCATTGCAAATGTTTTATATCTTGAGCATAAAGATGGAAACAAAGTTCGGCTCCAAGGCAACTGTATTATAGTGAGAGAAGCAGTCATTAACCATATAACTTAGGAAGTGATGATATCGATGAAGAAAAATAAAGTGGGATGTGAGATAGAGAGTGATGGGACTACTATGAACAGGATCTAGGTCAGGCAGAGTTCCTAGTGGGGTCACATTTGAAAAAGACTTAAATGAAATGAGGGAGTATGCTGTGCACATATCTGAGGGGAGAACCATAGCCAGAAAACAATAACCAAAGCTTTACATAGTGTGCTTAAGGAGTGCCAAGGAAGTTGGGGTGGCTGGAGATTAGTAGTCAAGGAGTAGGAGCTGGGCCACAAAGATGGTGGGATCCAGGTAATCACAAAGGGCCTTTTAGCCTACCTTAAGGAAGTTGGATTTTTTTTTCTAATGTGCAAAAAGTAGAATTTGCTGAAAAGTTATAAGGAGAAGAGTAGTGATATCTGGTTTATTTTTAAAACAAAAAAGAATATGAATCTAGCTACATTGTGGAAGAAGGATGAAAACCAGAAGACCTATCTGGAGCCCATTTCCAAAGCACCATTAAGATATCTTGGCAGTCAGGACCAAGAGATGACAGTGAAGGAGGAGAGAAGTGGGGATATATACTAAAAGTAATGCTGAGGGTATTTACTGATAGATTATACCCATAGTGTGGGAAGGAGAGGAGTTGAACGATTTTTCAAGATTTGGGGCCTTGGCAATTGAGTGGATGATGATACAACATACTAAATAGACAAGGAGTCCAAGAAGCAATGCAGTTGGTGTTATGTGCTGTTACAGAGAAAGTTCAGAAGAATGCAGCTGTGATAAAATAAAAAGAAAGTTCAAGGATTTTCACACCCAAACCATAATGAAGAAAAACAATCAACATTTGTCCATAAAACTGCAAGCCTGACAAAGAAATAAACCATAATCTTCGGTAGTCTTAAATATTCTTTTAATCCTTTAGAAATGAAATTATCAAGAAGTGGTAGGTGACACAGTGATCCCTAATGGTGTCCTCAGAGAGAGCTATATAGGTGATTCAATAAGGGGGAAAGTCAGATTGGATTTGGCAGCCAGGTGTGAGAGTGAAAAAAATGGAGAAAAGTACATAGTTTGTAAGATTTTTGGCTGTGAAAGGGAAGGAAAAGTAGGATGGTATATGGAGGATGATTCATATCTAAGGAAAGTTTGTTTTTGTTGTAATAAGAGTTTTGAGAAATTAAGAGTTCTGAAAGACTAAGGTGGCTGTAGTTTGCAGGACAGGGTACCATAAAGGAGGGAAGAACATAGAGATATAGCTCCTGAAATCTGGTTAATGGTCCTTGTGGGTCTTTGAATTTTAAGCTTTACAAGGGGGAACTACACATGGCAAGGAACATGCACGAACAACTATCAGGAAGCTGTCAACTGAATAATTTTTAAAGTTCAGACAGGTCCAGGGAACAATGCAATTTTGACCAGAAAGAGTAAAGAGCCTTATTGAACACTTGAGGCATCATCAGAGTCTTGAAGAGGATCATGCCTTAGTAGTAGCATGACTAAACTGATTCTGTAGTAAAGGCTCCATAAGGCTTCCATAATAAAGCTAAAAACAGGCCTTAAATAGATCTGGCTGATCCATAGAACAAAATTCAATATATTTTAAGAGATGATTCCTCTCTCCTTGCTACCATAAAAAAATCTATACACTCAACAACATAATTTTCACAATGTAAGTTTCCAACAGAAAATGATTAGATATGCAAAAAAGGAAAATATGACCTATAACCAGTAAAACAGTCAATCAATAAGCCACTAGTGGAGATAAAATAGGACACTTAAAAAATATATATTATTCAAGAGAAGACAGGAACAGAGGAACAGGAAACAAATGGGGCAAAGTGAAAACAAATAGCAAGATGATCAATTAAAGTTCAACTATATCAATAATTATACTAAATATAAATGACTTAATATTCCAATAAAAAGTGAGAGATTGTCAAATGAGTAAAAAAGCAAGACACGGGAAATGCCTTTAAACATAAAGATGCATATAGATTAAAATTTAAAGTATAGAAAAAGAAACATACATGGTTCCCTATATTCCCTAATTATAAGGAATCTAGGGTGACTGTGTTACCATCAGACAAAGTATCTTACAATTGCAGGACAAAGAATATTACCAAAGAAAAAGATGGAAATATTATAATGATAAAATTTTTATTTAATTAACAGATTAACTTGTTATTTATTTATTTTTTGGTACTGGGGATTGAACCCAGGGGTGCTTAACCACTGAGCCACATTTCCAGCCCTTTTTACTTTTTCTTTTGAGACAAGGACTCGCTAAGTTGTGTAGGTCCTTGCTAAATTGCTGAGGCTGGCTTTGAATTTATAATCCTCCTGTCTCAGCCTCCTAAGCCCCTGGATTACAAGTATACACCAGCAGCCCTGCTTATGTGATTTTTAAAGCTCATATGTGAACCTGATATTTTTCTCTTTACATTGCAGTTTGATCCATTAACAATCGAAAGCAAAAAAGCAGCAACCGTGGTGTTAATGCTTAATTCTCCTGAAGAAGAAATTTTGGCTAAAGCATGTGAAGCCATTTATAAATTTGCTTTAAAAGGTTTGGATTTTTTCAGTTTATCTTTCTACTTCATTAGTTTCTTAAAATATTTACTACACAATGGGCACTTTTCTCCTTAATCTTTCACTTACCTTCTTGTTAGATGAATTCTTCCTGACAGCTGGAATCTCATTTAATGTACCCCTGAAAGCAGTGTTTCTCCCTAAGTGCCTACTGTAATTCTAAGGGGTAAGTTAGTCACTGGATAGAATAATCATTTGGAAGGTTTTATTGTAGTTTTAAAACTTATAAAGTCTGGAGAATTAAGAGAATTGAAAAAAAAGTTGTAAAAATGCCACAGTACTCAGAGGAGCGGGAGGAGGAGAGGTCGCTGCTGTCTCCAGGAGCCCTTAGAGACCGACTCCCCAGCAACAGCAGCGGTGGTGGTGGCGGCGGGGCCAGCGCTCAGGAAGATTCGTCCCACCATTAAAAACCTGAAAACGTTGGACCACACAAGTTCTTACTGTGACTTCTTCCCTTCCCTTCTAATACCTTTCCTCCCAAGCATCAAATCAATTTACAGGAGTAAACAGTAACTCAGCAGTCAAACAGAACAAGAAGCAACATGAGCAGCATGAAAAAGCAAGGAAGAAAAGGAGTACAAACAATGCAGGACAGCCTAAATATTCAGGAGGACCTAGAG